TGAGCGCTCTGCTCGAGGGCTCCACCCGCGCGGCACACCGCCATGTACCCCTCTCCCCCACACAGGTGTGAATTCTTGTTTTTCTTTTGGCCTTTCGTGTGAGCACGTGTCGTTCTTTTTATCCCTTTTTTCGAGACACACGGCAGTTCTTTTGTTTCATTTTTTTTAGCTTTTGTGCGATTTTGAGGAAACAGAATGCACATGCATGCATGCACCACACGAAACAATATCATACGCACGCACACACTTATCATCGGCACAGGTTTTAAAACGAAATGCACATGCATGCATACGGATACATAAACACCATACGCACAGGTTTCTGGAGACTGGGAAATCGCCAGCGGGGAGGTCTGCTTGGGAGCGTTGTGTACTAACGAGGTCCAGGTGTTCGACGGCTTTGCCGTGTCGGTTGAGGGGGGCGTGCTGAGGGTGACAGCGGCGTCTGATGCGACGGCGTCGGGAACGGACGGTGGAATCGTGATGGCCGCCACGTCCGGCCTGCTGCACACAATGGGTGAGTGAGTGTGTTGTGTGAGAGAGAGAGAGAGAGGAAGAGACGTATTCATACGAGAGGGTTTGGTAGAGAATTGTCGCCTCGTATCCGCGCGGGGAGCTTAACACCGACCGCTAGAGGCTGGACCGCTGCACATGTGACAGAGATCTGTGCGTACGGGGGTTTTGCAGAGATGTGCTGCATCATATCCGTGCTAGGGGCGCTAGACGCTGGCCTTCCGAGCAACGTGGGTGAGAGAAAAGTGTATGCGCACAAGAGGGTTTTGTAGGCATGCGCTGACTCAATCCGTGCGGGGAGCGTAGCGCCGGCTGGTAAGACGCTGGCCTGCCGCACACCATGGGTGAGAGATTCGAACAGGGGGGATGCGGCAATGAACTTGGCTCCGGCCGGTTAAACAGGTTTGGGGGCACCGCGGAATGCGACCGAGTTCGGGCGGTATGTCCGGCGATGTCTCTCCTTTTAGTTGACAGCGCCTCGTTTTCGACAGGGATGTGCGGTTGAGTGTCCAGCGACTGCAGGCAAGAGGGTACCACTCCCCCCCCTCCCCCTCCGCTTTGGCGGTGGAATGAGTAACATGACCCCCCCCCCCCCCCCCGGGCCCGCGCCACCCAGAACCGCGGCCA